CTAAGTGGCATTTCAGACAATGGGACAAATATGACATCATGTGTGAGGCTGAGCCTGTATTACAATGCTGGTGTGAGGAAAGTGATGTGTGGACCAGGGAGGAGGGTTTAGCTGGGGGTTTAGAGGAATGGAGTCTCCAAGCATCCTTTTCAGTATTAGGCCTATGGAGTCTCTTAGAAAGGGGTTCTTTTGCTTTTTCCATTAGCTTGAATGCTCTGTAAGTTGGTGTAATGTTCCTGAAATATGGGTGCTCCTTTGCTTTGAGGAGAAAAGGGGATGAGATGGTAGTTTTTCCCTTTTGTCATTATTCTAAAATAATAACACCAAAGACAACAGATAGTAGATTCCCGAGAGTTCTCAGTCTCTCTCTCTTTCTCCATATATATATATATGTATATATATATATATATATATATATATATATATATATATATAGCTGTGTATGTAGTACTGGGGCTTGAACTCAGGGCCTTGTGCTTGCTATAGGCAGGTGCTGTACCACTTAAGCCATGCCCCCAGCTCTTTGTGCTTTAGTTATTTTTCAAATAGGGTCTCACACTTTTTGTAAAGGCCAGCCAAAGACTGCAAGCCTCCCACAGAGCTGTTATACACACCACACCCAGCTCATTTCTTGAGATCAGAGTCTTTAACTTTCTCCTGGATTGGTCTCAAACCATGATCTTCCTGATCTCCACCTTCTGAATAGGTGGAATTACAGTTGTGTACCACCATATCCAGCCTCTCTTTTTAATCCTCATTTTTAAATTGACTTACAATTTCTGGGGTAGATGAGACTTTTCCTCCTTATTATGGTGCTAGAAGTCATGTGAAAGCATCATTCCCTCTATCTGGTCTTCTGACCAGGGGACTCCATTTTGTCAAAATCAACTTACAGACAGTTCCAGGAGGGGAACAAGGAGCTTTCTGGTAGAAAGGGAGGTGAGCCATCAGAGCAGTTCCGCTGGAGCAGTGGAGGCTTGAGAGTGGCTTCCAGCAGGAGAATCTCACTTTCACTTTTTATTACATTCTCATCAAGCACAGCTTTATAGTCCTCTAATTACACATCTAATTGGGAAACCAAGAAAAAAAGAGTATGTACAGATGGAATCCAGTGGCTTGGATGGAGTTTCCTGTTGTATGATTATCACATCAACTTCCCTCATCCTTCTCCATCCTGGGGTCACAGCCCTGACTTCAGGATACCAAGACCCTTTTACCTTGGGGCTCTCTAGAATTGATTTCTGAGTGTGATGGTTCACAGAAGGCCCTGTGCCCTGCCCCCCAGAAATGTTACCAAGTATTCAGCAAGGCAGCCTATCAATGTAGGCTCTGGCCAACAGAGAGATACATCTGTGCCAGGCACTCTTTTCTCTCCTCCAAACTATTTCCAGGCATGGGTGCAGGGCTGTTCATTTCTTTGGGAGTCACATTCTAGTTCTCTTTAAGACTCAGGGAAAGAAAGTCAATCTGTGAATTTATTAATGCCATATTTCCAGCCCACGCCACTCTTCTTGCTCCCAAATAACTAACATTTTTAAGGACGTGCTTTAGTATAGTAAAGAGGGCATGGGCCTTTTGGCTGTAATAGACTTGGTTTTGCTCACTGTCTCTGGCACTTGCTAGATGGGAGGCTGTGAATCATTTGTGCAATCTTTTCATGCTCAGTTCTTGGTCTATAGGGAGGATACTGAAACTCAGCTCATCCACTTGTGGTACAGTTTAAGAGTTCTGGTCCATGATCCATAGTTGGAGTGTAGTAGGTATTTAATAGAAGATAGTTCAAGCCTATTTCCCTTTTGCATAAGCAGATCTTCTGGGTTCAAAGAAAGCACTCAAGAAATGGAGGACTGCACTTAAAATTTCTCCACCAACCAGTTGTTTGCCGCCTTCTGGTAGTGGGCTTACACTTTGTTAGAATTTTTTTGTAATTGCTCTGGGAGACTTTATTCTCATTTGAGAGATGGACTTTCTCCTTGAGGATAACTGACTCTATTAATTCCAAATGCTGGTGATTAATAATAGTAGAGAAATGGATGTAAATGATTTTTGTTGAAGACACACATGAGTATATTGCTCTATTAAGATACCCATGATCTCTAAATATGATTTTGGGAGCTGAGAGCAGGAATACAATGAATAAGATGTGCTCTCTTAGCTTACTTTCTCTTCCCCACAAACACAATTTTAACAGAATGCAAGGTGTTTGATTGAACAAGTTTAAGTTTAGTAAACGTCGATATATAACAGAAGGAAACTGGATTCAAGAGCTGAAAAATATTTTTCTTAAAGTTTTAAGACAATGTGGTCCGAATGTTTGGCTTCAACCTCATCACCCTCTTTTGAGTTACATCATTGGATCTGATTTTTTCTAATTATGGGCTATCATAGTTCAGTTTGGTGTTGAGTGATTTCATAAATCATATTAGTGATCTGGTCCCTCTGTTCTTCTCAAGAATGTGGCTTTGATGAATCAACAACAGTTGTAATGTGTTTGCTTCTATCACATGTACATCCAAAGTTATAAAATCTCAATGTTGCACAAGCTCAGTTTCATCACGTATATTGTGTTGGCTTAGATTATGTTGGTTCTGTCAGCCTTTGCTGTGCGAGACTGAGAAGAAAGAGAAGTCTCCTGAATGTGGTAGTTCTGTAACTTTTCTTTTGAAACCAAATTCATCTTGTTTCTGCTTAATGTGGTCAAGGAAGCAGGGCTGAGGGTCCTTCCTAAGGGCATTTGGAGAACTGTGCAGTCTGCTTTGTAATCTCAGCTTGTGCTAAGGAGCAGACCTGGGATGGGCAGATTTTATTTACAGGTACAGTTGTTCACCGAGTGCTCACGTAAACATTTAAAGATCAAAACTCAGAGTAGAGACAATATACAAAAAAGTCACATCATCAGCAAAGCAGCCACATCTACTTTAAACAGAGGGAAAAGGAGACACATGGCAGCTTGCATCTGCTTTCCTTTTTAGTCTGGGAATGCTGGAGCTGGCTCCTACTGATCACCAAAGCCAATTGAGAATTTCTCTTCCTAAGTCTATGTGCAGTGACTTCATATTGGTAACTTGAAATTGGCCATTATAGGAGTAATTTACACCATGGGCATTGGCAAGTACTGCAAATTTTATAGCTTCCTATTAGAAAAGTAAGCAGAAATAATTATTTTATTGATAATTGAATAGAAAGTCTAAGGATGATAAATTAAAGTGTTCAAAATTGCAATTAGATACCTATCAGGTAATCAAGTCAATTATCTGGTAATTTATATGTCAAATCAAGTAATTTACACTCCGAATATACACACATACCTATGCACAGGAAAATAAAATAGACTTCCCAATTCTTTCTCTTAAAAAACCAGCATATGGCCAACAGATTAGTGACTCCATGGTACTCACATTAAATATTTTAGTATATTTGTTCAGAGGTGAGCAGATGGACATAATTAAAGCTATATCATGTTCATTAAAATATGTAAACCAAAAAGAAAATATGATTCAGGGGAACTTTGTATTGATTAAGTAGGCTTGTGTTCTTTTATTTGAAAATCCACCCAATACATGAATTTTTAAGGCAGTAGAGTTCTTAAATTCGTTTATCAGACAAACCTCAACATAAAAACTAGAACGTTCCCATTGCATCATAACTAGTCAGTATCAGTTCTTCCAAGTTTAATTGTTAGAATTACTGGACATGAGCTGTTTTTGTGAAGACTAGCTTTTAATTTTAAAAGTACAAGTTATTAATTTATGTTAGAGACAAGAGAAGATCTATCATTTATGGAAGCATAGTTACTTTTAAAACATTTGCCTGCCATCAGAATGAGAAGCCATAGCTTATAAATATAGAGGTTCCACAGACAAGTACTGCTGGTATGGATAATATAGGAGGTCAGAGAATACATAAAATTCTTATTTGACAGTCTGGAGGAAAATGATTCTTGATGTTAACCCCAAGCTGATCCTAAAACTAGTAGATCTCTCCATCACTCATTCATAAGTTCAAGAAATATGTATTAAGCATTTCTGCATAAATGTACTGCCTTTAGGTAATTTACAATAAAAGCTGCTCCTAAGACTATACACCAGATGAGGTACCTGGGAGGGGATGGTGGGTTCCCTTCCATCTGTGGTCCTGCCACATCTAACTTTCCTGCTGCCACCTTTTCAACAATCTGGTATCTACAGGTGTCTCTGCCTTTGTTTATTCAGATAGATTTATTGGTCCTGTGCCAGCTCTGAGCAAGGTGGTGAGGCAGTGCATGGCAAGGAACTTCATTTACCTGGGAAGTTCTGCTTGTGTAATATAGTGGACATCATTGAGTACAGAAAAATCATCCTCATAACTTTCTGACTGGTTTTTTAGTTTTGGACCTTGGGGTCAATGCTATTTTTCTTTCTCTAGGAAATAGTGTTCTCTGTGGATGACAGTTGTTCTCATTGTCTCATTGAACAGTGGACTAGGAATGATGTCTGGATGTTTTCATCTTTTTTCAGAGAACTCTCAGTTCACCAACTCATTTTTCCCTATGAAAACAATCATATTTAATAGAGAAAATGACTTTTATAGGGGATAAGAGATTACTGTCATTTGTAAAAGCAAAACAAAACAAAACAAAAGACTTTCCTCATGGCATCCAATGAAATGGAAAGAAGATAGGGACAGAGAGGCAAGGCATGAAGATTGTGGTGACAAAGTTCTAGAGGATGGCTGCCATTTGCATTGCATGTCCACTTCCCAGCTTCCATTTTGGTTATTTTAAATTACAAGAATGAGCTAAATTGGGTGGAATCTCAAATCATATTCCCTTGGGGGGATGGAAGTGGCTAGATGGTTCAATAGGGGAATATGGAGAGGTGTCCCAGGTGGGAAATCAGTATCACTCACTTTTTTTTCCACTTGAAAACCTACATTCTTGCTATTTACACAGGTTTTCTTCTCCCTTTCTCTATTTCCTTTGTATCTGGTATTTCTCCCCTCAATTCTTCCTTCTTTCCCAGGTATGTTTGATAATTGCTCCCACACAGTCAATGACAAGGGCTGGGCCCTGGGGATCCGCTCACGGAAGGACAAGGGAAGGCGAGATGCTCGCTTCTTCTTCTCCCTCCGCACCGACCGTGTGAAGAAAGCCACCATTGTGACTGGCCACAGTCGCTACCAGCCAGGCATGTGGACACATGTGGCAGCCACTTACGATGGACGGCACATGGCCCTGTATGTGGATGGCACTCAGGTGGCTAGTAGTCCAGACCAGTCTGGTCCCCTGAACAGCCTCTTCATGGCATCTTGCCGGTCTTTACTCCTGGGTGGGGACAGCTCTGAGAATGGGCACTATTTTCGTGGACACCTGGGTACACTGGTTCTTTGGTCAACTGCCCTTTCACAAAGTCATCTCCAGCACAGTCCTCAGCATTCAAGTGGGGCAGAGGAGTTGACCACCGTGGTCCTGACAGCTACTTTTGATCCTCTAAAGGAACAGTGGGCCCCCTTTAGAGATGAGAAATACCCTTGGCTTGAGGTTCTTCAAGGCTCTGAACCACAGCCTGAGATTATGTCACCTTTGCAGCCCCCGCTTTGTGGGCAAACAGCTTGTGACAACGTGGAACTGATCTCCCAGTACAATGGGCACTGGCCCCTTCGAGGGGAGAAAGTGATCCGCTACCAAGTGGTGAACATCTGTGATGATGAGGGTCTGCACTCCATTGTGAGCGATGAGCAGATCCACAGGCAGCACGAAGCACTGAATGAGGCTTTCGGTCGCTACAACATCAGCTGGCAGCTAAATGTCCACCAGGTCCACAACTCCACCTTGCGCCACCGGGTTGTACTTGTGAACTGTGAGCCCAGCAAGATTGGCAATGATCACTGTGACCCTGAGTGTGAGCACCCACTCACGGGCTATGATGGGGGTGACTGCCGCCTGCAGGGCCGCTGCTACTCCTGGAACCGCAGGGATGGGCTCTGTCACACTGAGTGCAATAACATGCTGAATGACTTTGATGATGGGACTGCTGTGACCCTGAGGTGACTGATGTGCGCAAGACCTGCTTTGACCCTGATTCACCCAAGAGGTAAGGAATTGGGGTTTGGGGTGCCCTCCATATTGGGTACATTTCTAACTTATTTCATCCTTTTGACTTCTGGAGACAAAACAAGTGTTTTCTCACCATCCCCAAATAAAACATTCTTTCCCCACATCAGATTTTATTGGGTTTCTATGAAATAGGTAGTGTGTTAAGTAGGTAGGAACACAGGGATGACTAAGATAAGGGACATCTCTCACAGAACTCATGGTCTGTGGAGCACACAACTGTGCATAGTGTGCAGTGCACCTGAATACATGTGCACTGGAAATCTGAGGCACAGGGAAGATGAACACTTCCTCTACCAGAGGAAGTCAAGGAATCCTCATGGAGAAGAAGCATGGTAAATAGTGATAGAAGCCAATCAACACTAACTGAGTGACTTCTCTTCCTGTCCTCAGGGGTTCAGCATAGTAATGCAGATCCATAGAAAGGTTTCAGTTTAAGCAGTTCGGTGGTTTCATGGATTCAAGCCATTCTACACTTAGCTACAAGTGTCTCTTGTGGCAACTGGAGTCTTCTACTGTTCTTCCATTGACTTCAGTTCTCCACACAGCATCTAGAAGGATCTTTTAAGCAAGGCAAATCAGATCCTGTTATTTCCCTTCTTTCATTTTTTCCCTCCACTGCACTTACAATAATATCTGAACTCCTCACCCGGCTCCCAGACTCTGCTGCAGTCTGCCCCTGGCCAATGTCTCTTGCTTTCCTCTCCAATTACTGTCTCCATACACCTAGTGTAGCCTCACTGACTCTGCTCTGTTTAATTGAACAGGTCAAGCTTGTTCCTAAACCCGGGGTTTTGTGTGAGCTGCTCCTTCCTCTTGGAATCCTCTTTTCCTTGGTGTTCCCTTAAAGGGAGCTCTCTCACCATTCAAATATCAGTGCCATCTTCTGGAGGAAGCCTTTTCTGATCCCCAGTCTAAAGCAGCTACTCAATCATGTTTTTGTCAATTAACTTTAATTACCTGGCCAATACTTACCACTTCTTAAGATTTTTCTTGTGCATTCATGTGTTTTTCTTTCTTTCTCCTATTTAGAATATAAGTTTCATGAGATCAGGGGCCTTGTCTGTCTTATTAACTGCTATATTCTCAGTGCCTTGAATGGTAGCAATATATACTTATTTATCTCATGTTTATTTTGATAAATGAATATATCACTGTGTCTTCTGTTCTGAGACAGAACATTTGGTGTCTGATCCAGGGGTTAAAGGAAGTTACAAGGAAGTAAGGAAGGAGGCAGGGAAGTGCTAAACCTGTATGAAGTGTCTCTAGTACAACTGGTACCTTTGTTCAAATAATGAAAGGTGAGTATGAGTTACCTGAGCTACAATGTAGAGTGGGCAGGAGTGGGTAGGACTTGATCTCAGCTCCTGCCCAATACTTACATGGCTACTTTTCTGTTGGACTCCGTTAATACAGTATTCATGGTATTGTGTGTGGTCTCAGCTGATACTAACAGGCTGGCCTATAGCTCAGGCACGTGGTGTTGAGGATTGAGTATAAAATTTGCAATCGAGGAACACCGAGTCCTTGCTACTTAACTAGATATGCACATTACACAAGTCAATTTCTGAAACTCAGATGACTTGCTTGCAAAATAGGAGTGACTACAGTAATTCTTTGTATTATATCTATATCCTAGGGATGTTTTGTGAATCAAAGGCAATAAAGTAAGGGGAGGTGTTCAGAAACTAACATTTTCAATGGACACAAATAGTTCTAAACTAAAATTAATATTATTATTAGCGCTCTTGGATAGGAAATCCTTATTTATATAATACCATTTGGGAGAACTAATTGCATTACCAGAAATATTTGCGTAAGAAAAATCTGTTTGGGTTTGGTTTTGGATTTTGATAACCTTATGCAGAAGCTAAATTTCACTAACAGCTGTGGTTGGCAACTCTTAGGATCCCCAGGGGAGACAGGGAAGTCTTTCCTGTTCCTATTTGTCTTTTAGTTTATTACAAAAATCCACTGTCCTGATTGAGGAGTCATTGTGTTAGTCAGTTTTCTATCACTATAGTGAAATATCTGAGATAATTAACTTATAAAGAAAGAAATTTTATTTTTGCTTACCGTTCTGGAATTTCCAGTCTAAGATCATTGGCATTACTGCTTTGGGCTTCTGAAGAAACAGTACATCATGGTAGGAGTTTGTGGTGGAGCAAATTGCTTGCCTCATGAGCCAGGAAGCAGGAGAGGGAGAGGAAGAGACCAAGGTTCCATAATCTCTATGAGGGTATGTCCCTGATGACCTAAGAACCCCGACTAGGTCCCACCTCCTAAATGTTCCAACATAACCCAATAGTACCACCCTGGGGATTAAACTTTCAATACATAGACTTTGGGCAGACTGTTAGCCAGACTTTTCATTGCTGTGACAAATGCTGAGAGAAACAATTTAAAGGAAGGAGGATTTTCTTTGGCTCATGGTTTCAGACGTTTCTCTTTATGGTCACTTGGAGATGTGTTTCTGGACCTGTGGTGAGGGATTGTATCATGGGGAAAGAAATCTGCTCACTTCATGGCAGCCAGGAAGCAGAGAGAGACCAAGATGGGCCAGGGACAAGATATGCCCAATAAAGGCACACCCTTAATGACCCACCTCCTCAACTAGACTGTACCTCTTAAGTCTCTACCACCTCCCAATAAACCCATCAGATTATGACTCCATTAATGGATTAATCCATTGGTGAAGTCAGAGACTGTATGAACTATTCTCTTCCAAAAAGCCACATCAGATGGCAAGCAAACCTTTAACACACAAGTCTTTGGGGGGACATTTCAGATTCAAACCATAACCAGGATATTCATCCAAATTATAATAGCCATCTTCCAAGGTACCCAGGCATCATTCTCTTCAGAGTGGTCTTTACCTCTCACAATTCCTGCAGCACTAACCATATCTGTATGTTTATAACTTATTCCCATCACTGCCTCAGAGTTGCCATTGAAACTCATCTCATTCTATCTGGAGACCCAGAAATGTTGTGAACCTTTATTTACATAAAATATACCTTTATGCAATACCTGCTTTGTGGAATTAAAGGGAATGATTTTAGTATTGTGATGCTGGGGATCAATCCCAGAGGCTTTCACATGGTAAGCACATGAACAATACTGAGCTAAACTCCCAGCTCCAAATATTTATACTTTCTGATTGTTAAAAATTACAGTAAAAAATGCTCATTGATAAAATACCAAATTGTACCAAAAGATATAAGAAAAAACATCACTCTCCTGCCTAACTCTTCCCCATTTCTCCCCACTCCTTAGTCTTGGTCCCTATGGATAACTATGTTTAATGCCTTCATCTATTTCTTCAGGTAATTACTTCCATATTTCCAAGTATATTTGTATTGCTTGATTTAACAATTTTAAATATTATTCATTGAGTTGGTCTTATGATAGAGATGAGACTAAATCTCATATTGTCTCCTCTTTTCCATTCTTCTAACATAGTTACTTTATTATTTTTAGTTTAACTCAGTTGTAGTTATTCATTTTTACTCCAGGGAATTGGTTCCAAGACTTGCTTGGGTACGAGAATCTGTGAATGCTTCAATTCCTTATATAAAAGACATAGTATTTGTATATAACCAGCATACATTCTCTCATATGCTTTAAATCATCTCTAGCTTACTTACAATTCCTAACACAATGTAAGAGCTATGTTCATATACTATAGTGTTGGCATGATGACAAAGAAAAAATCTGTACATATTCAGTACAGACACATTTTTCCAACTATTTTTGATCCACTGTTGGTTGAATCCATGAATGCAGAGCCCATGGATACAAAGAATTGACTATATGTGTGTTTACAACATTATGACTATGAAATATTATTTACTGTTGGACAAAATATTAATCTGTTATATTTCCTTTCTTGAACAGCCTCTTCCCATCCCTTACCCTACCACTTGAGTCTGACCTCTTCCTTTCCTCCTTCCTCTCTTTCTTCCTACCTTTCTCCCTTCTTTTATTCTTTCTTGTTATCCTCAATTGCTTCCAAATGCTTTATCATATAAACTAAGTGGTTTTTTTTTTTTTTTTTACACAGCTCTCTGGGCTTCTCCCTTCTCATTCATTCTATTCTCCTCTTCCAACATTGACCAATTATTTTAGGTTTGTTACTCAGTTATCATCCTAGAACTTTGATGATTTTAGTATTGTAGTTGCTGTGTCCTGAGTTACATAAATATTACTTAATTTATTACCTTATTTTACTAGAAAACACTCTTAAGTAACTTCCTATGAAAGGATGTTATAGGTAATGTTTTCTGAACATGACTTCTTAGAATGCTTTTATTCTGCCTTTATGCAAAACTGATCATTTGTCTTTATATAAAATTTTGAGTTAGAAAACATTTTATACCAAACTTGAAGAAATGCATTAATTGTTTCTAAATTTGATTCTGGTAGTCGTGTGTCTTTTTAAATATATTTTTTTCCTTTTTGAAGTCATTTAGACTATTGTCCTTACTCTGTTGCATTGGATTTTGTGATATTATTTATTAGGGCCTTATTGTTCTTTTAATTATTTTTTTGTTGAGCAATCAGTAGGCCCTTTCAATTTGGACTCCCGTGCCCCTGGAAAATTTTATTAAATTATTACTTTGATATAGCTTCATTCCATTTTCTCTATATTCTTTTTGTTCTACCCAAGATAGATGGGGATTAGTCTCTTGAATTTATTTCTTGACATTTTTCTCTCATATGTTCTATCTTTTGTTATATAGTTCTACTTTCAGAGATTTCCTTGCTTTTATATTCCAACTCTTTTATTAATTTTTTAATTGCAAACATATTTTCAACCTTTTTATTCTTTGCGTTTTCTTTAGCATTAATCTATTTTTGAGTATAAAGACAAGATTTCAAAACTCTTATCTATTTTTCATGCTGTTGAATTTTTTCAAATGTGTAGTGCTTGTTCACAGTGGGAACCACACTCTTAAATCTCTACTTTTGTAGATCTAA